TACACCGGGGTCGTCACATTATGCGTTTTTGCTTTGCATATAAGCCAAAACGCATAATTAAAAGTGTCTGTACTCGGCCTGAGTCCTAGTATTAGAAGTGTAAACAAGACTATCTATAGATGATTGCTCCGACAGTAGAATGAACACCGAAACAAACGCTGTAAACGAGCAAAGAGCGGAGCCGGAGAACGCAGAAGGCCGATCTGACAAGGCTGCGGAAACGATAGTACTAAAAGATACGAGAAATGTTCTGGAATATGTCAGCGATTTTGGAAGCACTGAAAAAACAGATGAGCAGCAATCCAATACCGCTTCTTCTGACCGGCGTGTATTCATTTTTCTTTCTTTTTTCATTACATTGTTGTTATTATTGCTAAATAGCTGAGATAAAATAAAGGGTTTGTTTGCCAGTACACTTACAAGAATTGTACCAAAGACTTTAAGTAAATAAGTAAAAAGAAAAAGGAACACAAAAATAATAACAAAAGTTCAAAGAGTACTTACAGACATCGGTGTATACATGTGCAAAGCACCAGTACGCCCAAGGCGAAGTAGCAGGTAAGGGTTATTGAATTGACAGTTACGTCAATAATAGCGATACAGTAAATATTCGCCATGCTCTGTAGCCGGAGACTGTGCGGCAAAGGGCTGCGGTTAGCGCAAATTCCACAGCATCGCCAACGTCCCTAAAGTATGGAGCCAGAACGATCGCGCCCATCCCTTCAGTACCGCTGTGTGGAAGGCAGTGACTTGCGGATGCGAGACCTGATCACTTTCGAATCTTGGCTTTGACAAAGGAAGCGATGGAGCAAGGGATGCTTTTCTCGTCAATAATTCCACATGACCGTACACAAGAACCAAGCAAGCTTAAGAACTGAATTTGAAGTCATGGCAAAAAACATCCCTTAAAAATTTCAGCTTTTCTGATCCCTGAGTTAGTAGTTTTCACTCCAAGACTTTCACTAGCCCGTACTTGAGTCTCAAATTGGCACCACGTTACTGGAACAGCATTGATAAGGAAACCACCGGCAGAACTTCAGGTCAAAGTTTATCCTTGCCAAGTTGAAATACCTAAACAAATAAACACACACATGCAGGAACAAATACACTCATCATGAGGCATTTGCATAAATATTCGAAAACATGTGACTAGCTTTTTATGCAAATTTCATGGCATGGTATATGTTTATAAAGGACACGGTGGGAAAAAAGCTCATTTTATAACTGCACTTGTTACGGTGTTGCGACATTTTGTTTTCAAGCAGAATTGAATCATGAAAAAGGCCGAAGTATGCATTTTGGCAACTTATATAACTGGCAGAGCCATTCTGAGTGCAATATGAATTAGTAGTTGCAGAGCAAGATGTGGGCTGTCAATACTGGCGGATTTGGATTGACCTTTCAGCTCACAGTTCTTTTTTGAAGTATGCCGCATATCTTCGAAGCGACTTTATATACATGTAGTGGGTGCTCCAAGTAACAGCTGGGAACAGGCAGCCGGTAAAAGAGAGCTAAGCACAGCAGCGCTAGAGTTTTAGTAACATCGAAGGCTGGATGAAAATAGTACCAACAAATTTGGCAGAAAAGCTATTATTAACTATTTATTGATGCCTTCAGCAACTGCATAGACATATTTTTAGACCAAAACACTAAATATACGGAAATGTCCTCACCAAAACGCATTTTGCTCAGGATGAGAAAAATATTAGAAAATTTGATGCTGCACATAAAAATTTATCAGTGATTTAAGAGACGTGTAACAACGCGTGGGCAGGGAGTATGCTCGATAGGCCCAGATCGCACTGTGGCAGTGAAGAAGCGTTGTTCTCAGCATTCTCCGAGCCAAGTTGTTGGCCGAAAATTTGTTCACAAATATAAAACTGTTAGTTATTTGTATAAATTAAAAATCAACAGTTCGCTGCCTTTTTTTGGATCACTAGAAATGAAAGAAATTGTATGAGAAATCAAGTATTAGAAACAAGAAGCGTAAGGGAGTGACGTTACTGTATGAGTTTTACCATTGTTTTTGTGATGCGTTTAATAATTTTTTTTACGAAATATCGCCAACCGATGAAAGTGTTGTTGTTTGCTTGCAGACGGATTCAAAGATACAACAAGTAGCACTAACTGTGCCAGAGCAGTGGATGAATATTGCGTTAGAGTTGGGTGTCCGTGGAATACGTAAAGAGTTTGTTAACGAAATCAAAAACTACGTGGCAGAAAACGCTACAATGAAAGCTTGGGAACGCGATGAAAATTTCGATAAAAATAGGTTAATTATGCATTTTTGCGTATGTGCAAATGCAAAAACGTATATTGTGAAGACCCCGGTGTGTGTATTTGTGTGTCCGAGTATTTCAAATTGACAACCACGCAATTTCCGGCGCCAGAATTTTGCCAACAAGTTCTCCAGCTAAGTGCCATCCAGAATCGTTGACCAGCCCTCGTGCACGTTTGAGTCCCGCGTTCGACCACATGAGAGTTTTGGCGAAAAAGTCGCTAACTCGGGAGCCAGAAAAGCTAGAAAGCTTAAATTTCGCAGTTATGTTCCTCCCCCACATAAAAGATTTCAAAATTGCGTGGTCCCCATGTACGCCCCCGTGTATCTTGGATGATGTTATTTTTGGCCACAATAGCTCTTATCGTTGTCCGCTCCAAACAATTTAAACTAAATGAATATAGTTCTAAGCCGGCAGAGTGCCTGTAGTAGCAGTACCCCAAGTTTCTCAATTG